GGGGGCAAATTCAAAGAAATGGAAAGATTTCACTAAGTAGTTAATATCATTCAAAGGAAGTTCCAAGGCACTCTTGTCACTTGTTATAAATTAAAACTTTTAGATTATATATTTCAGTATAGATTCGGTAAGTGAGTGACCACTGCCGAGCCTGCTGCCAGATCCGCAATGATTTGCGTAGGATAGTATAGATGGGACACGACCGATGAAACGGCTGCCCGCTTTCCCGCAAAGTCACGAGGCGCGTCGGTGATGTTCAGCTAAATGAGCCGAATGGCGCTCAGTACACGTTTTGTATAGATTAAATGGAAAACCTTTCGTATGATGATGTGGATTACCGCAGCTGCAGTAAATTCGCATATTAAAGATATGTGAATTCACTGAATCATTATACACTGCTATTCTTGCCTATCATTTTCAGCATCGGTGTAACTTTCACAAAAATATCTTCATGGATGGATAGAAATTTGGCAGGATCGAGTGCACTGCCCTAGCTATTATGATATGTCGACGTTTCAATTATTTTAGGACGTTTAATAAGTTTTCTGCTGTAGTCAGCTAAGGTGTGCTTACCTCAAGACCGTCGAGTTATTCAGCTAACTGCTGACTGTTATTGCAGCTTGCTAGAACCTTTCTTGCTGCCAATAACGGTAAGTATACCCAGTACATGATATAACATATTTCCGACAGAATCATACAGTGCCACCTGATACAGGGCGCTACGGTACAGTGCAAGAAGGTCAGCTTAAAACTTTCGACACGACAATATTATTCTTAAGTGCTAATTCCCCGAGCGCACCCAGTCTTGTGGTATAGTCACTGCAGAATGGTAGAGTGGAACTGCAATGCCGTATGAAACTAGCGTCTCTCCTAGCCACAGTGCGCCCTGACTAATCTGACAGCTGACTAAATTCTGATAGCTGGTATAGGGTATAATTTTATGGTTCCTATTCTTGTTAGTCACATACGAGAAGGCTACTGAACAATCCAGGGAATGTCCCATTGTAGAGTTTAGGACTGTCTTTATATCCGGTGGAGAATCATCCGTCGGTCAACTGCACTTGTTCGGTGACAATTAGAAACGTACAGTTCATCATTTTCGAAGATTTGTGGCATCATGCAGAGGTTCAATAGGTTAATCATCTGGTGTAAAAAGCGTGAACCCACTCTTTGTGTGCTAACACGTATTCAATGTTCTAGCAGCAGCATCATTTCAACTTGTAACTGTTTTTCTCTGCTACCATTGTCCAGTAATAAAATCGCTGTTTGCATTAAATTTTGCGACCATCTATACTTAGTTGAAGTTGCTGCTCAAACTTTCTGCAAAAATAAATCCATACTCACTTGTGTGCCTTTGTTGTTGCCCCTTTTAGTCTGAGTCGGCCAATTTTGTTAATCGCTGAATTATTGATCGCGACGGTTAGCACTTTCGGTTCGCGACCGTAACGTCAGTCAAAGCGGATTTAATGACTAGTAAGTATGTAATTCATCCTTATTTGCGCTGTGATTCCGACACATCCACCAAGGCGATGAAGAATGTCGGAATGTGTAGCATTTATTGTCTGGCTGTTTCTGCTACGCCAATTCGAATTGTGAATTTCTTTTGCAAACCATTTATATTTATTAAGTATTTTCGCTCGGTTGAAACAACGAGCGTGGTCTGGAATGTCACATGTTCCTAATTAAAGAACATTTTATGCGTTGTCTTGCTGTTTGTGACTTACCAAAACAACACAGAATTTTCGTTAATGAAGGTCATCTTACGTTCGGCCCAAGTAAGCTTGGTCCGTCTTCTGAGTATATTATATCCTAGAGTAATCCGATTCTGAGTATCCTAGAGTAATCCAGTACATTGTGCGAAAGGGTTCTCGCCCATCTATTCTAATCGAAACGTGCACTCGGCGCCATCTAGCAAACTTCGATGATGGCCGCAGGAGTGTCGAAGCATTGTGACTTTATGATAGAATCCAGGGCGTCTCCTATATGTCACTTAGTGCATTTCGCAGGCAGTTCTTGCAGAACAGTCGGTGCACGACCACCAGCATGCCGAGGTGCCATCATTTTGTTTGAGGTGGAACAGCTACATGAGGTAAACAATGTTATCTTATATCTGATTGGTTGAAATTGTCACACAGATGGTATAGTCAAAATAAGTTATCCTAACGATTATGATAAAATTTAATTCTTAACACCCAAACACACAGAGGGTAAAGTTTTCACTGCCTAAACGGTTCGCTACCACACCAGGAACGTATTCAGTGTGTATATGATAATGCCAGCAATGAACCGCCGTACGGAGACGAATAATGTACTACTCGAAAATAAATGTATCTTTTGGATACAAAAAGCATAAATTGAAGTTGTTTTGCAGGAATTCAGGTCGAAATGCAAATTTAATGAAACCACTTATTGAAATTATTATGCACATAATCTCCAACATTTCTCTTCATCATCATTTTCCATCGCCGCTTCTCCTTTCGGGTCGCGGAGGCAGACGCGTTAGACAGTGCTTCCAAAGTTCCCGATCCTGTGCCAGAGTCTGAGCTTCGGCAAAAGACAAATGCAGTCTGAAACAGATTCGTGACTTCTCACTCTGGAGAAGCAAAGGCTGTATTCCAAGGCTCTTCCCGGACCATGTCGAGACGCGTAAGGCCAGCGACTCGTCTAAGAAAGCTCATTTTAGCAGCTTGTACCCGGGTTCCAAGATTTTCAGTGATGGTCCACGATTCATGACCGTACATTTCTCCTTTATACACAATCTGTTTTCACAATGAGAAAAGCATGATATAAAAACAATGGATGTTCCGGGTTGTCAATTCTGCACGATGATGATTTCTGTTCATATCGCAAGGCCCTTGAGCATGGATCAGATCCGGTGTTGGGTAAATTACTGATGCCTTGAATATACGGAACAAACGCGCCTGTGATCAAGTTGATGAAGTGCCTTCTTGCTGGACCGTAGTAAAATGACCAGTTCGGAGGCTTCACTGCCCAAGGGCCAAGCTCTGAGGCTCATTCATTCCACCGTTAGTGCGGTCAGTGAAATAAAAATCGAACCAGCGACAACGATCCACTCTCACACAGATCTTCTCGCCTTCATCGAAAATAATCTCTTATACTGCACTGGTAATCGAACGCACAAAAGCATGCTCTGCCTTTGCTACAGAGAATTGTGCCACTAGCAGAAAAGTATTGATCCATTTGAAAAATTTTAAATTCACCATATATCGCCATTCGGCTATGATATTGCTATGAAGCAATCCAACAGTATGCCATTGACACCGTCTTTGGCCAGAAAAGAGTTTGCTGAATAAATTAACTGAACAAGATGAGTTTACATACACCTAGTTGATTCATGAAAATTGCCACTTTGTTACGCATGAAGATTCAATGCTAACGCTTCGGTAGTGTAAAACACTGGTAACATCTGCACTGTTTGTTGCCCTCAATCATAACTCGACGAAACATCTGCAATTTCAGCAATGGGAGCGGCATCAGAAATGATATATCGTATAAAACAAAAATGTTTTTGACATTTTGAGGGAGTCACAGTACTTGATGACATGCTAATATATTTCTTATTAAAAAATCGGCTTAAGATCAATCACATACGCATGTTTCGCAAGGAACAGAGCAAGCGAAACCTGTCATTTCCATATAGAGTGCATATTTACGCCATATGAAACTCTATTCAGACGGTTCTATTGACATCTTGACTGAAAAAACTTCATATGTATGGTATAAAACTGACATTTTTCGTAACGAATTAAGTGACCACACATTCATTGGAACATGTAATGACTTGATTGTGCCTAAATTCAACAAAAATGCAGAAAAGTAGTTTTACTTAAATTGCACAGCATTGTAATCAAGTTTCTGTTGAGCGCACAGAAATTTGTAGTATGTCGCATTTTTCTACATTTTTCTAACAGATCATGGTAAACAAAAGGCGTAAAAACCATATGACTGCGGCATATTGAATGCCACAATATTGGGCTTTTGGATTCCAGCCTCGGTAATTTACAGATTGACAAATTTCCTGAATATTGGAAGAATCACCCACAGATGCTGCTGTACTCACAGCCCAAAAAACAGCGAGCCATGAAAATGAAGTGAAACAATGAATATTAATCACATTCAGATAATAGTGCGTAGTGGCTTGAATATAACTGAACTTCTAAGTACATTTTGAAGGAGCCAATCTTCCAAAAAAAAACTTATTACAATTTTTGATATGTGCAACGGAGCGTACGTATAGATGAAGTACCTTTATATTTCAGCGTACATGACAACGTATTGAATCATTCATTCTATAGCTGAAATCGTGCGGTTACGGCAAATACGCGGATGTAAATTGTGCAACATGTAGCGTAAGCCCGAAACACACTTTCACCTGTACTACTACTTCTATTATGCTTTCAATCAAAGCATAACACAACCTAGTAATACCATAAAATGATTAATGACTGAAATCTGTTTCAAGAAAACAACAACGTTTTTGCACAGCACAGCCATTATATCAGAATCCAATCTTCCGTCACAGAAGGTATAATCGAGACAGAAAATCTGCATATGAATAAAACATACCATCGATTTCAAACAGAAAATAGGACTATTTTCTAACTAGGAGCTTACAACGCAATTAGCCGAAATTTATCGCTTTTCCACAGTATGCTTGCAAGTTCGCTTCACGATATGCTTCTGACAGCGTCTAAAGAAAATGCGCAACATCAGATCGAAAACAGCAACAATTCAGTAATGAAGCAATTCAAAAATGGGATCAAAAAAAGAGTTAAAGGTAATAAAAAATGCCTCAACAGCAGTGTTTCGGCACTGTCTTTATTCGGAATTGGCCGTGTCAATGGCGCAGATGTTCTTCAGTCTTCATCTCCATTAAGCGACGTCATCAAACAAACGTGTCTGAACTTTTTCAATCCAATCAATGAATTGACTTTGTCTGCTCAACGGGCAGATGGCATGACAGACAGAGTTCACAATATACCCTACAAGGATGACACTCCTCCGTTAATCAAAGTCCTCAATCCTCGTGACCAGTAAGTTACACAGCTAAATAATCAACGCAGGTCAAACGGGAGCATTCAGTTCGCATAAAAAACGATATCTAGGCAAGCCAAGCGATTATCCTGTACCAGCATCTGTACAATGAGCTAGACGTACAGCAT